ATAAAGAGATAGGGCCATTATGCAATTTTAAAAGTTAAAATGATGTGGCTAAAAAGTCCATATGAAAGCAATTTAGTGGGAGGGCATCCATGCCCCTTCATTAGCAAAGGCATCCCCTTGTTAAGTTTGCATTTTGTTTCTTCTCTCCATTTTATTCCGAACAAGATAAAAATCAAACAATTAATTGAAGTTTGCATGCACATAATTTAATACAAACATCCCCCGAAAATTCTAATTTGTAGGGTAAATACATTACACTATAAATTGAAGTTTTTCCGGAGGAAAAAGATCGAAAATAATTAAATTATCCCTCGATATAAACATTCTCAGAAGAAAAAGCCAGCAATGCCGGCGGCTCCGAGAACGGCGGAAACCTTCAAAGAAGCGGCGGCACTGTCGTCGCCGTCAGCGGAAGGTGCATCCGCTGGCGTGCTGGCGTCAGGGGCGTCGGACGATGGGCCCTCGGCAGGCGGGCTGCTGGGCTCGCTGTCTGGGGTTGGTGGGGACGAAGGCTCCTCGTCTGGGGACCCCGCGGCCTCGGGGGCCACGGTCTCATCAGCAGCTGGCGATGAAGCCGTAGGCCCCGATGGTTGCGCTGAAGGCGCTTGTGCCGGGGCGGCTACATTGTTATCGACGACCACCTCGCTATTCTTAGGAGAGGCGGCGGCGGTGGGCGACGACACCGGGGAGGTGCTCGGGGAGACGGCGGCGGAGGCCAGCCCGGCAAGGGCGGCGATGAAGAGGAGGGCAAATGCAACAACCTGACGTGCCATAATTTTTTTTTTTGAATTATTCAATTTGTTGTGCCCTTTTATTTATTTGTTTATTTATTGAAAGTGGTGATGATTCTTTGTTATTCCACAAGAAATAGTGAAGAACCAAAGAATGAATTGGATGATGAAAGGATGGGAGGGTTTTATAGGGGACAAGAAAAAAAATAATGTAAGGTTAAAAAACGTACACAAATGATTTGTGACATATAAACCACTAGAAATTTAATTTATTGATTATGGTTAAACAACGTTTTCGGATCGAGTCTTTGTTGATCATCCCTTTGGTCGGAGGGAACGTGGTGAATTTACAATAGCCACATGAGGTTAAAAATAAAAGAAGGCAGTGTTTACAATAATAAAGTTCTTTGGAATTAAATTTATTTTAAAATTAGTGTATAAATAAAAATAAAAATGTAATATACTCCGCATATAATATGATTGATTATATTATTTGATTAAATTCAGATAAAGAATCTGCTGCCTTCCTAACCAAAAGGTGGAAGATATAATTTGAAGATCTCATAGTAAAACTAAATGTCAAACAATGGAAAGATAAAATAAGAAAATGAAAAATCAAATTAAATGAATCTGACTCAGGAGTAAAAATTATATGGGCATGAATCACGTGCAAGAAAAATGTTAAAAGGATAATGCTATAGTTTACATAGAATATTGTGCATCTTAAGGTCCATTTGTTAAGCACTCCCTTAAGATTACTATTCATAAAACCTTTTTAGTTTGGCTATTTTCACTAATTATTTTATAATATAATATAGTGATGTCACTTATTATTTTTTATAAATTTTTATCTAGTTTATTGTACTCCTGACACTTATAGATTTTTTATTGTGTTTTATGAGGGTTGATTAATTATATATATATATATATATATACATATATATATTATAAAAATTACATATTTCAAAATTATATTTCAAAATAAATCTAATGCTAATAAATTTATATGAAAAATTCAATGTATTTTTTTCATAATATAGAGTCAAAGTTTAAAAAATTTAATTACAAAAGTGAAACTGAAAAATTAATTTTAGAACGGAAGGAGTATTTGAAATTAAGTATAAAAATTTAAGAATAAATATACTCCGTAACTCTTTTAATAATGTCTAAATAGATTGTCAAAATTGGGAACACATTTTTTGTATAGAAAAACAATGGAACAAACCGTTTGGTTTGAAAGCCCTTGAAACCAGCTTCTCCATCCCAAGATTCTGGCAATGGATGCTCGGATCTACGGAGGAGATGGTTTCTTTCTGCTTCCATCGTTCCCGTTCGCTTCTGGATTTCAAACGTCTCTCTTTCTCCCGCATTCATTCCTTCCATCCGTACACGCCTCTGCCTTCTCCGCCCCGCCTCCCGTTTATCTCCCCCAATCGCTTCACCTCTTCTTCTCCCCATCTATCCATGGCTCGCTCGTGGAATTCTCCCACTCCGAACGGCCAAATCAACCGAAACTTCTCTCCCGCCGGTGCGCCGGAGGATAGGAAATCGAGGGTCGCCGTCGTTGGCAGCGGTAACTGGGGAAGTGTCGCCGCTAAGCTCATCGCCCACAACGCTCTCAGGCTCAATTCCTTCCACGGTTTGCATTTCCCGACGACTTCTTGTGATCATGAATGCCTGTTATTGTGTTTCATGTTCTGCTTCAATACCGATTCAAAATCGAATTTTGGTTATTTTCCCTAATATCTCTTGTTTTTTTTTTTCAAATTTGTTTTGAATTTTAAGATGAAGTGAGGATGTGGGTATTAGAAGAAGTACTGCCAACAGGTGAAAAGCTCTCTGAGGTCATAAACAGGACCAATGTATGCACCTCAGTCTATTTTGCACTCCTTGTTATATAACTTGTCGCGGCGCGTAACGGAAACCTGCAATGTGGGTCTTCAACTCTGATATGGAAAATGTTTCTTGATGCAGGAGAATGTTAAGTACCTACCGGGGATTAAGCTCGGCAAGAATGTTATTGCAGACCCTGACCTTGATCATGCAGGTACAAAAACCATTATTTCTAAGTTGTACCTAAGATTGGTGTGTGAGGAATCAATTCAGTCAATAAGTGTTTGTGGAGCAAGATGTAAGTAGACTCTTAGAGACGTAGACCTTAACTCTATTCAGCGAGTACCCGACAGAGGGTGACTCGTAGTGGGACGAGTGATAAAATAAATAGCATGAACATCATCAACTACAAGGACTTTACGACTCTAGTTTAGTCAATGTGTTGATTATTATGTTGTTCAAGGCTGACACATGGCCTTTTGTTTGGGGAAACTGTGTTGCAGTGAGGGAAGCGAACATGCTAGTCTTTGTTACTCCGCATCAATTCGTGGAGGGAATATGCAGGAGATTAGTTGGGAAAATTAGGAAAGACGCTTCGGCAATTTCTCTGATTAAAGGGATGGAGGTCAAGAAGGAGGATGGTCCGCGCATCATTTCCACCCTCATCACAGAACGACTCGGAGTGAATTGCTGTGTCCTAATGGGGGCAAACATTGCTAATGAGGTCACTACTGAACTAATGCACTAAATAGACTGAAAGGTTGTTCCCATTAGACCCTTAGTGCATTGTTGCATTTACTACACAAAACTTCACAAGAACGGAAGGAAGTTTAATGTACCATTTTGATTTAGTCCACAAATTCCTAAAGCTAAACCGTATTATAACAACTCGAAGTTGTAAATGCAGATTGCCATAGAGATGTTCAGTGAAGCAACAATAGGATACAGGGGAAACAAAGAGATTGCACATAAATGGGTTCAGTTATTCAATGCACCTTATTTTATGGTCTCAGTTGTGAGTGCATACAGTTTTGAACATTAGTTGAAAGCAGGATATTTGCTATAAAGTACGGAGTAGTCTTATCTAACGGTTCAATTAAAATTTTCCCCAGGTCCAAGATGTGGAAGGAGTTGAACTGTGTGGTACCCTGAAAAATGTTGTGGCTTTAGCAGCAGGTGCATATTCTCGGACTCTTTCCTTTAATTTTGGTTTATTGTCCGTTTGGAACTTGCGAAATGCTAGGGAAAGTAAATAGAAAGCAAAGTAGACAGAGAAATTTGGGAAAAAGGAACTTTGGAGGAATATAAAAATTCTCATTAAATCAATTTTAGATATTTCTTTAAACATATTTTATGTATGTAAATCTATTATATAAAGACCATAACCTCTTACTTTCTTAAGAAAACTAAAAAAATCTATTCAACTGTTATTTCCCTTCACACTTTCCCAGTTCCAAACCTAGTCTGATGATTATTCCCTCTTCATCTATTTTGTTGTCATGATAGGATTTGTTGATGGGCTGGAGTTGGGAAACAACACGAAGGTAAATCATTGCAAGATAGGGAGAATAAAGTTCACTGAAACCTACATGTACCCCTAAAATAGAGAGACTGTTTTAGCCCTAAAGTATATTTTAGACCTCAAATAATAATTTCCTAAACTTTTTCTCCTTTTGAAATTATCAACTAGGCTGCAGTAATGAGAATTGGCTTGAAAGAGATGAATGCATTTGCGAAATTGCTCTTCCCATCAGTTAAAGACAGTACATTTTTCGAGAGCTGTGGGGTAGCAGATGTGATCACAACTTGCTGTGAGTATAGACAAATATGCTTGTGCTGAATACTTTCTTGGTTGCAATTATGGTATGTGATTAAAACTTCTTGACCGTGCAGTAGGAGGACGAAACAGGAAATGCGCCGAAGCTTTTGCAAGGGATGGGGGGAAGAGGTCTGCATTATATATATAGTGTAGATTTCCACATTGAAGATATTAGAAGGTTTGTACACTGATGCTTATTTATGGCCGGTTGCTAGGTCCTTTGATGAACTCGAAGCAGAGATGTTGCAGGGCCAAAAACTTCAGGTATCCATAGTGTGAAGAGTGGAAAAAACACACAAACAACACTAACACATTGCCCTTACAAAGGCTCTACCAACCCTAAAACACTGTTTCTAGGGGAAAAACAACTAATAAACGGAACGCCTAATTTAAAGTATGGTTCTAATCCTAGGAGCTTATCTCATTTTACCTCTCATATCTTTGCTTGTAAATAATGTATACAACCTTTAGTCAATAATGGCTGGGCTTGTTGTCCGTATCTTGTAGGGCGTGTCAACGGCAAAAGAGGTGTACGAGGTTCTACGTTATCGGGGATGGTTGGAGTCGTTCCCTCTATTTTCCACAGTTCATGAGATCTGCACCGGGCGTCTTCCTCCTTCAGCTATAGTTGAACACGTAGGGCGACCCCCCAAGATTTTCCCAGGTGGGAGATTGTGATGATTTGTTTATGAAGTCCAAGAAAAAAATGGCATTTTTCATTGATATCTATACCTTTTCTTTTTAACAATTGAAATAATGATCGCCCTTGTAAGTTGTATAGGATATTCGCATGAGGTTGATAAAACATGGAACCATATTTGAACTATATTTGAATTCTAATTCATTCAATAATTTTACATTGTTGATGTATTTTACAAATGTGAAAGGGACAAGCTAGGTGTTCCTTCCCTCCCCAAATAAAATTCTTTTTTTTTTCATTTTCATAAAAAAGATTTCTCATTTTTTTACTTTCCATTAAAAGTACTCCCTCCGTCACTTTTTAAATTGTCTGTTTTCTTTTTTTGTCCGTCCCAAAATAAGTTGCTTGTTTCTTATTATGGTAAACTTTTAAGGGTAAAATAACTAAACTATCGCTAAAATAAGTCACTTGTCTCCACATTATCTTCTCATTCATCGCCACTCCCCTAAAAAAGTAAGGGCATTTTTGGAAAATCAACAATATTTTTTAGCTACTTTAAATATATCCCAAATTCAAAACAAACAATATAAAATAGAACGGATGGAGTAATAATTAAAATGTTTGTTTTTACTTTGCATAAAAAGGAATAAATAAAAAAGTTTTCACTTCAGATTAAAAAAATCATTGTTTAGCCTATTAACCCAAACCCAGTAGCAAATATGACAGCAATTTATGAGTGTCAAATTTAATCTTTTAATTTTAACAATAGTAACATGCTGTCAAATTTGCTGCTGGATTTAAAGATAAGAGGAAACCCACCTAGCCGTACAAGCTCATGAAATGACACACACGGCGACATGCGGACTTTGTTAGCAGTAATTTAAGAAGGTGAATTATATTTATGAATACGGTGTGGGGAAATAAGTACTTTAGCTTAATTTAGAGTTGCACTTTTGGGTAAGAATTTCAGAGTGAAATATTTTAAGAAATTAGAAAAAATTAGAAGGTAATCATCTACTTTCTTCTAATTATCGATTCATCTAACCCCTCAATCTAAGGAATAGTTCATAATGTCTTGGTTTAACAAGCAATATCCACCTTCATTCAAATAGAATTACTTAGGAGCTGTTTGGCAACTTCTGAATCGGTAAGTACTGAACCAGTAAGAGGTCTGAACCATTAAGAGCTAGTATATTGCTTAACTATTTAGAGGCAAATGTCTGATCAATTCAGATAAGAGGTTTTAACCATTCAGACTCTGTATAATACTTAACCATTCAGAGGCAAATCTCTTAACCATTAAGAGGCTGAAACAAACAGTCTGAATCATTAAGTGCTGAACCATTCAGACATCTGAACCATTAAGAGGCTAAAAGAATCAGCGTCTTAGACTAAGGGTACCTCCTGTTGACGTGGAGAATGTGGATGGAGTCAAAAATCACTTTAAAACCTTTTGTTTGGAAACAATATTATAACACTCCCAATCAGGTAACTCAATCCATATTTGAAGTGTGGAAGAAACTTCAGTCATCCTTATTCAATGGTTCATCATCTTATCTATCTGGAGTTGCGTTTTCTGGTAACTTCAGCTACCTATTGCCCTTGCTTTAAAATTTTTGAATCCCGATCTCCATACTGCTTATTGTTTTCTTCTGCGTTTATGTCCTTATATAAAATTGCGTGAAAAATCTTTGGATTTTGAGCTGTTTTTATTTGATCATTGAAAGAATGATCGTGTTTTTGAGCTTTTACCTTAAATGAAACCAGAACTTCAGTTTTTTTTTGAGATTGTTCGGTGATCCTCGGAGCTTATGTAGTGGGAAAACCCAAACGAGAGGATTCAAATGGAAGAAAAATTGGGGCTTTTGGGGGGTTAGGGTTTTCTGCTCTTAATGGTCAAATTGGCGCAGGAAAAGATTATTTATTTAGAACACTGTCATATGATATGAAAGTTCATATGAAACTAATGTTTTTATTGAAAAGAATAATTGGGAAAGTTTTGTATAAAAATAAATAACAAAAAAAATCTTGTGTTTATCTTCTTCCTTGGATCTTCATAATCTGCATCGACCCAACCCGAAAGTGGGAGAAAAATTCAATCTTTCCAGAGTAGTTCTCTGATCTACTGCTATATGGTTTCATCATCTTCATCAGATAGAGAGGAGAAGAAAGGAAGTATGGGATTGTTTGATTTGGAGAAGCACTTTGCATTCTATGGAGCATACCACAGCAACCCGACGAACATCTTCATTCACATGCTCTTTGTTTGGCCAATTTTCTTCACCTCTCTGCTCCTCTTGTACTTCACTCCCCCAATTCTCGCAGCTCCTCCGATCCAGCTTGGTTCTGAAACTCTTCTGGTTTTCAATTACGGGTTCCTATTGGCCTTGATCTATGGCCTCTTCTATGTGGGTTTGGACCGGAAAGCTGGCTCTTTCGCCGCACTCATTTGCTTTCTCTGCTGGGTCTCTAGCAGTCGCCTTGCTCGTCTTCTTGGCTTTTCAATGGCTTGGAAGGTTAGTCTTTTTTCAGCATTTTACTTTCTTTGTTTCACATCTGTTCTTGTACTGAGATTCAAACACTTTGGGGTATATTTTCGGCATTAAATCTCACACATGATCGAACAGGTTGTTCTTGCAGCTCAGCTGTTCTGCTGGACAATCTCACACAGGCATTCCTCATGGCTCCTTTCTTTGTCCTGTTGGAGGTAAAACAGGCACTTTCTCTTAAGAAATCATAAGAAATGGTTGGGTTTATTGCCCTAAACAAACACTTCTCACACAGGCTCTTCAATCTTTCTTCGGTTATGAACCCTATCCCGGCTTCCATGCCAGTGTGGAAGCTAAGATAAAATTTGACATTAATGAATGGAAAGAAAAGAAGAAGAAGAAGAAGAAAATTTCTTGAATGAATGTACTATATATTGAGCTCTCTTTTTGTCCCATAAATACTAGTGGGTGTAAACCTTAATTTGAAGGATCTAAATTCAGATTACTAGTTCTATCTTTTTGTAATCTTCATATTTTATAGCCTTTGCTCACTTGATTCAATTATACTCCGTAACAATTAGGCTAAGGATATTTTTACTCACAGTCTTATTCACATGGTCAAATTTTAATTACATTTTAAACCCATTTTTATGATCCATTTGAGAAAATAATAGTCTTCTCACCTCTCGTATTCTAGAACTTTAATGTAATTTTTAAATATATAATTTTTTAATTCCCTTTAAATTTCATATAAATTAACTTGAAAATAACTTCAATCAAACATCGTATGCCACTTAAGTCCTCATTAAAAATAAAATTATAAATAAAATAAGTTATTTTATACAGATATTCTATTATACGGAGTAATTATTTTGTTACGGAGTACTTCTTTTCTTTGTTAAAATTTTCTTTTCATTTGATTTTTTTTATTTAAAGTTTATAAACTTGAATTGTAAACGGTAGAAAAAATGTTGTGTTAGAATATAAATTTAATATTAATAAATTAATGTTGAAATATAAATTTGAAATACCCAAATGATATCATGTTTTTATAATACGTAAAGTAATTCTTAAAATAGTACTCAATTGCAATGTGTTTTCTCAAATTAGTCTCCAAGATGAACTAATTACCGAGATGATACTCGCTAATTGAAAATAATGTCCAGTTTAGTCCCTCCCGACCAACTATCTTCAAAACAATGTCAAAAAGGCATTAAAACTTATACTAATTTTTTAAATTGATCAAATAAAATTGGATTTGTTTTTAAATTAGTCTATTTTCGATGTAAAAACTCATTTAATTTGAAAAACCGAAGCATGATTCTTCCCTTTTAATTAATTCACGTTGTTTGAGCAAAGCCCGAGAGACCATTTTTTATGAGATTTTATTTTGAAAGTTGAGTAATTTGGAAAAAAGATTTGAATTAGAAATGATAATTTTAGAAAATAAGTATAAGTTTTAATGTCGTTTTGACTCCATTTTGATGGAGGTTAGTCAACGGTTAAACTAGGCATTGTTTTCAATTAACAAGTACCATCTAGATAATTAGTTCATCTTAGAGACTAATTTAAGAAAATACATAATTATTAAGTACTATTATGAGAATTTACTCTAATACATACAACCTTTGTATCTATTTGTGTTTACACTATTTCTTTTTTTAAACCATAGTACTAAAATTTCATTTGTGTACTATTTGTGTCTCAAAAAAAATTTCTTACTTTTTTCATTTCATAGTACTAAAATTTAAACCATACATTTTCCAGTCTTTAACATTTAAAAAAACATCCATAAAAATCAATCAAATGGGTAAAGTTTATTGTTGGAAATGGCTTATCTATTGTAGATGTTGATAGTCAAAAATTCAAAGTATTGCTTTAATACGTAAAAAGTTAAATGAGAAGAAAAATTTTGAATGAAAAATATATGGAGTATTATTTTATATATAAACTTTTGCAATACTACAAGCGTAGTCCATGCTTCTTTGGTTTTTTTTCTAATATTACAAGCGTAGTCCATATTTCTAATATCACAAGCGTAGTCCATGCTTCTTTGGTTCTTTTTCTAATAATATACTCCCTCCGTCCTAATTCCACCTTCCCACATTGACTTTTTCCCATTTTTAAGGACTCCATATTTTTACCTTTGACTTCCCATTTTGCCCCTTACTAAAAATTTTAGGAATTTTTTTTAAGGCTAACTAAAAAAAGGTTAAAAAAGGGATTTAATAAAGGAAAAAAACATAATAAAACATCTCAAAAGGAAGCAATCCACGGTACATTAAGCCCAAATAGCAAAGGCATCCACTTTTACAAATTTCATGTTCAACCAAATTCAATAAGGAGGGAAAGTTCTAAAAATTTCCCTCCCAAACAAAAACAGAAAATTCCCCCAAAGCCTATTCTATAAATAGCAGCATACTTTCCACTTTTAGAAAGGGAATCCCTAGCCAATTTTTTTCATCCTTAATGTCTGCCCAGTTCCTGAACCTCCTCCTGCGTTTGCTGCTGCTGCTGCCAGCATCTCGACAGGTACTACGACCATCCCGAGTGCTGCAGCGACCATCCCGGGTGCTGCTGCTGTCCTTCAACCAGGCAGAGATGAGGACCTGCGAAGAGAACAAAGATTATGCAGGACCAGGCTATCAAACAGTCAAAGGCAAAGAATTGTAGAAGCAATTCTACCATATGCAAAAAAAAATCAGGTGAGTACACAGCTCAGAAAGGAATAATCAGCAAGGTTGGTGATGAATTCAATGTTTCCAGAAGAAGCATAGGAGACATATGGAGCAGAGCTAGAAAACAGTTAAAGGAGGGAGTTGCCATTGATGTCAAAAGTAAGGTGTATGGTAATACTGGTAGGAAAAGAGTGGTCATAGATGTTGAATCTATCCCAAACATTCCTCTAGCCCAAAGGACAACCATCAGATCACTAGCTGCTGCACTCGGTATGTCTAAATCTACTGTCCATCTTTGCATTAAGAGAGGTTTG